AAAGCCGTTAATGAATTTAAAACTCTTCAAATATTTTTAGGCTTATCAGGTACTATAGGAAATTTATAAAAGATTATTCCAAAAATAGCGAATCCCGTTAACAAAATTATTAAAGAAAATTCAAAATTCATTTGGTCCGAACAATGCGAATCTTCATTTAATACATAAAGGAAAAATTAATAAATCCTCCAATCTTATATTATCCTAATTTTAATAGAAATTTTTCAGTTACAACAGATGCGAGTGGCGTAGCCATAGGTGCAGTTTTATCACAAAACGTGAACGGTTCAGATCTCCCAATTTCATATGCATCTCGAACATTAAACAAAAGCGAACTAAATTATTCTACAATATATAAAGAGTTATTAGCGATCGTATGGAGTGTTAATTATTTTAGGCCTTACTTATACGGGAAACCTTTTAAACTATATACAGATCACAAACCTTTAATATATTTATATAACTGTAAAAACCCAAATTCGAGACAAATGCGATGGAGATTAACATTAGAAGAATTTGAATTCGAAATTATTTATAAAACTGGAAAAACAAATACAAACGCTGATAGTTTATCTAGATCTTATTTTGAAATTGATAATGATACAAAAGATGTTCAAGAAGATACAAAAAATATTCAAAAAGATACAAGGAGGATGGTCAGGAAATACAAGTTTTCATTTTTGATCACTACTCCAAGCAATGATTTTCAAACATTTTTAAATACTATAAACAAAGAGATCATTTTAAACACAAATAAATAGAAAATAATATAATTTCATCACTTCAATAACTAAAAATCAAAATATTTTAATATTTGTATCAAAATCTTCAAATATATCAGCGAAAATACAAAAATTATTTGATCTTTGTAAATATGAAAAAAATTAATGATACAGACAAACATAATTCTATAGATATTCAAACTGCAACTAATCATATTATATATTCTATTGTTAATGATGAAACTTCACTGTCTAAACTACAAGATTTTTTTTATTGTTTATGTAATTTAAAGGAACACTTTATCTTTTGAGCATTTTAGAATGATGCTAAGATATATTTTCAAAGATACAAATATAAACATTGAAATTATTTAGACAAAATAATTGAAATTTAACTGAAGAAGAAATAGAATGGTCATCTAGGAATAAAGAAAACTTATAATAAAATCAAAAATTTTTACAAGTAGCCAAAAATGAAAGATCAAATTAAAGATTTCATAAATAAATGTATAAATTGTCAAAAAATAAAGTATCACGGAAAACTAAAGAACTCATGGTAATTACAACTACGGCAAAAGAACCATTCGAAAAAGTATGTATTGATTTATGTGGACCATATCCTATTTCAAATAATCAAAATAAATACCTTTTAACTTTTATTTGCGATCT